CATCAGAACTCGGCTTTAAAGCCTCAAAGTGACTGATCAAGTCAGTAGAGTTGTCAGGAGTCGATCGAGATGCAAAAATCGTAAGACCGTGCTCAGAAGCAAGCTGGCTTGAAGAATCGTGATGTGGCAATAAGGGACGTTGTCTGGATAAAGAGCTAACCATGGGTGAAGTAGCAGGTGGCAAACCGATCACGTAAGACTTGATGCTCATGCATTCACGTTCCTCGGTCATACTATTGTGACAGATATCCTGGTCTATAGCCGGGGGCCATCTCTCTGCCAGACAGCTACTGGCTATGTGATTGTCTTCGAAATCTAAAAGTGTCGCCTCTATCGGGGCGGGTGAGCTGAGTTTATTGGCACATCTCCACTGTTTAAGTTGCCTCAAAGGTGTATGAAGAGCACCTTCAGGGCAATAGCAATCTGCTTTGTTGAAAGAGTTGCCTTTAGTTTGCTCAGGCAACTTATGGTTCAGGGAAAGGGCCTGCAACGAAACAGAACGAGTGGGTAAATTTGAGCCGTGTGGTAAAACTCTTTGGTTTTCAGTAGGGCAAGCTTCCTGATCTGTCTTATGTGGTCTATATATCGCACTATGTCGACTTGAGTCGGGCGTAATCTGACTAGAGACGGGACAAGATGCAATTTTCCCTGAAGCATCCAAAGTGCTTTTATCCTCTTCATCTTCGTACTCATCCTCATCGTCATCCTCATCGTCTTCTTCATCGTCCTCCTTTTCTTCGTCCTCAACCTTTACCTTAAACGATGATGAGGGAAGTTGTTTTCGCATAGGTGTCGCGGAATCGGAATGAGTGGTTGCTTGGTGAATAACAATAAACGAATTGTTTGCCAGAGGGGTTTGCTTAGATGCTCTTTTCGTAAAACTTGAAATATCGTTTGGGGATTGAGGAAGTTGATCGGATTGAGTAAAACTGATGAACTCAGTGATAGGCTTATTGGGCTCCAATGACGAATTGGTGTGGGAAACAGTGGAAGGGGTAAAAATATTTTCGACAGACGAAATCACGGCTGAAAGAGCTTTCTTCTTTGACTTAGAGACGGTTTCCAAGGTGTGTCCTAAAGACATGGATGAACTTTCTTTCTGAGTTTCTCGTATCGTCTCGACATGACTGCCTGTGAATGCAACTCTGGACTCCTGACGGGTACTTTTAGATGATGACTTTGAGTCAAATTTCACGATACTTGAATTCAAAGA